GGCACCTTAAAGACTAACGGATTTACTTGGGCATAAGCTTTCGTGGGTAAAAACCTCACTTGTTCAGATCTGAAGAAGTGAGGTTTTTGCCCACGAAAGCTTATGCCCAAGTAAATCCGTTAGTCTTTAAGGTGCCACCAGACTCCTTGTTGTTTTTGTAGATACAGACTAACACGACTACCCCCTGATACTTCAATATTATGAACTGCTTTATTTTCATAACCACATTAGCACTTTATGAATTATACTTTTGTTGTTAAAGAAAGCTTTTGCAACTTATTATATATTTACATTTTAAGAAACTGGCTGAGATAATTTGCAAGAGCCCCAAACTCACTATTTATGACTACACTTAGGGGATATAGAGTCAAAGCTAAGACAAATCATCTGCTAAAGGCAAAAGTTAGCAGTTTTAACCAGGTATCCATATACCGGACTCTGAAATAGCTTGAGAAAGTCTGTTGATAGCTAGTCAAAAATCACTCCAGTTCTGTGATGCTGGCGGCTATACCAAGGCCTATCAATAAATGAATTAGTAGTGAGAGAAACATATTATCATCTGAAAGCTGTTCAGGGATCTATGACAAATGAGTTCCTCATCTCAGTCAGGTCCCTAGTAGTGTCTTCATCACAAATGGCAACATTGCTCAGTCCCCCTACCAATTCATGCCTTTGCCTTTCGAGAACTTATTACCTTCCTGACTTCAGATGGACTCTCCAGAACATGGCTGAGGCCAATGGATGGCTTAACATGGGGAAGCTTGCACTGCAAATGATAGACTTGCTATTCTTAATTAAAAAGCCTGCAGTGTCAGCTGGGCCCCTTTAAGAAGGGCAGAATTCAACTGAAGCTTCAGCCCTAGGTGAAGGAAGTGAAGCGGAGGCAGACGTGGAAGGTGAGAACAATCAAGTAGAAGTGCTTACCGAGCTGCTTTTATGTGATTAACAATCAGAACAATGTGCCTCGCCTGAATTGCCTCCTGGCTACCTTTTGGGGTTGAAATTTCACAGTCTTGGCCAGAGGGTTATTTTCTTAATTTTATTTTTCTGTTCAGACTTTGGTAATTGATTCAGGTAAGCCTGAGAGACACCTTTCCTCTTCTACATTTAGACAGTCCCTAGTCCTGAAGATCTTACAGTGTGCTAACACAGTGCAGCCATGACCGCGGCTGAGGGCTTTAGCCTTCACCACAATACAAACAGTAATTCTAATAATAAGGAATCATTCAAGCTGACTCTTAATCCTCAGTCTTGGTGTAGGCAATGGAGAGTGGTGCCTCTGTCAAGTTTCTGAGGAAACTTGGTTTAGTTAGAAACACTTGAAAATACCTTACTATGCATGCATGCAAGTCGCTTACTTTCCTAAACTCTTTAAGAGCGCAACGTGGAGAACGTAGCTGAGCACAGGTTATTTGAAACTCCCTGACTCTTGTGCGACGGGATGGGAGGCCACTCTGACACATCAGCAAGGGTGGAGTTATTATGCCTACAGGCTGTCATTGTGGCCTCCTGCTGGTCGTTCTGGGAATTAGCTCAGTCTTATCGCAGGGCGCCCTCCTCCGGTGGTGTCTCGCCTGCCATCACTTCTGCTCCGGACCCACGTCGCCTCAAGGATTGCGATGTCCTCTTCAGGACACAGCCCTCCGGCCGTGCCCCATTCCATTCCCCCGCCCCCGCACTTCCAGGGGAGCAGCAGTCCTCTGTCCAGCCACTTGCCTCATTGGCAAACTGCAGCCCTTCACTGGCCACTCCCCTCAGTGGCAAGTGGGGGGCGGAGGGGGGGAGACCCGGGCCCACCCTCTACTCCAGGTCCCGACCCAGGGACACTCTAGGCGGCAGCCATGCACTGCGTCTCCCTTAACCCCCCACCATCCATTTCCCTGGGCCACTTCCCCATAGCCCTAGCACCTTCTCTGCCCCTATATCCGGGCTTCAGTCTTTAAGCCAGTCAGGCTGGAGCTCCCTCTTGCTCCCCTAACCCAGCCCTGCTCTATTCAGGGTGCTGGCGGTTCCCTCAGCCCTTCAGGGACCCAGTCCTTTCTGCCTGGGCTCCCAAGAGGGAACTGACTCCTCTGCCCTGTAGCTGTCTTTATATATGAACCTTCTCTGCCCTGATTGGCTGCTCCTTGCAGCCCCTCACTGATAGGCTGTCTGCTGCGCAGCCTCCCCAGGGCTGCTTTTAATCCTTTCTCCACCAGTGTGGGGCAGACGCCCCATCACGCAGGCAAAATGTGTAATAAAACACAATCTTCAAGTTACTTTATGTACGGTGTGTGTGTATTCAATAAAACATTTTGGGCCAAATTGCCCTCTGTGCAGGAATAATTGGAAATTCAGAAGTTTCCTTTGAGGCGTTTCCCTGGCATTGTTTCCTTGGCTTAGGGGCAGGACAAGGGGTTCCTTCCTGTGGATCTAGCTGAGGATCCTACTCGCCAAAAGTTATACAGCTGCCAAAATCCTTGGGGAAGTGCAGTCCCTAGCCATCCCCATGGAAACTCTGGCCTCCCTGCACTGGCTCCAGAACTCCTCTAGAGCTCTGTTGTTGTGCACCACATCTTAAACTAAACAGGGCTCTGGATCCACGAATGACTCCAAATTGTGAGTGTATCAAACATCATTTATAATCCACTCCGTCATGTCATCAGTTGTGTGGGCAATTTTAAAGAGACAGTCCTGGGCAAATTGCCAAAACCCAAGATGTTTAGAAACAGTCCCAGGCCCAAGATGTTCCTCTTTCCCCAGTTCTGGTTTACAATTGCAGCAGATACATTGGCATGGCAACGCTCCCAATATTTCCTTATCTATCTCATAATAAAGTTATTTTTCACAAACAACTCTTGACTGCTTAAAACCTCAAATTCTTGCTTCGGTTGTCAACATGCAACTCACATCAAGTACGCTTCATCCACACTAGGCCTATAACATTACATGGATATGTCCATAAAAACAACTCTTTATAATAGTTTGAGTTGAATTTTTGTTACCGTTGTTTTTATAAAAAAATATAAAAGGGAGACAAAAATACTGGGTTAGACTAAGCGAAAAGGTCTAATAATACCACCCAAGGACTGTGTTAATATCACGATTGGTAAACAAGAGGCGAATGGAACCAGAAATGAATTAACTAAAACTGGTATGTTGGAAATTAGGCCTAATTGGTGAACAAAATAATGAGGGGATGGGTTACTCCACCCTTTATTCCCTTTTGGAGTACTTAAAAAGAGACTTTGGGGAGGCTCAAATAGGCTAGAAGATGGGTTGACTGAAAGGAGCGAGCTTTGTTATCATGACTGCCAACCCCACCATCTCCAGGGACCCTGGAATGTGCCATGACTCTGTTAGACCTTCACCATCCTGATTCTGAGAGAGGTCCTGACCAGTCCAGGCCAGAGAGAGGGACCCAGATGACACCACCACCTCTGGCTAAATCCCTAATGCTACCTGGCATATGGAACTTTGGTTTCTGCTGTCACTGCGCTCCATGTGTCCTCCTTCCCCACCTTATTTCTTCTTTTTCCTCTCTCTCTTCCTTTGCCTTCTGTTTACTAAGAGTTTGGCTTAGCCAAACAAGACAGCATCTCTTGCAACAATGCTATGAGCCTGTGCCCAGTAAGGCAACCAAAAGCAATGCCTTAAACAACCCACTGCTGCTACAAGTTTTCCAGGTCTTGGAATGACTGTGTGCTGGGCCTGTGTTTCTCCGGCAGTGGGATTGCAAGTGAAAATCAGCACCAGAGACAGAAGTTGCATTTTCTACCTTTGCTGTTCCTTTCACTCCCATTTTGCATGTGAGCCTTGTTTTCGCTTTACTTAAACAGGGTCGGACTTCAGCAACAGCAGCAATAACAACAGCTCCAGTTCATCTCAACATGCTTCTCTGTTCCTCAAAAAGAATAGTTGATACCATCTAAAAACTGGCAAATGGGTTTTTTCCCCTATAAAAGCTCTCTACAGGGAATAAGGGATATTGTAAAGTATTAAGTAAGGCTTTAATTTGGGCATTTCAAATGCTATTACCTTTTTTCCTTTTCAGTATCTTTAGTAAAAGGTTTAAAGATTTTTTTAATACTGGTGCATTTGCCACAGGACTAAGCAGGCCGAGATCTCTGTACTTAAACATGGTTCGGGGGTTCAACTGTCTAGTGTTGTGCAGTGACAGGATCGTGTTAACTTCTTTGACTCTGTAGGCCCATTTATTCCATCAAAATTAACACATCTCTTCCCATCCCCATGTTAGCAGAGCTACAATAGAGCTTTGTCTGTTGTACTTGGGGCACACTGTTTACGAGTGAGACAGCGCTTAGACTAACGTTGTTTAAGCCAGCATTAACTAAGCCAGGGCATTCTTGTAGAATTGGGAGGTTGATGCTTTGGGATACAACCCCTCTCCAGATAGCTGTGGAGCTCCTGCAAGACAGGCTTCTGGGAGGTGAGAAGAATGATGCTGCCGGTGTGGCATCTTCTCCCCTCATCCCATGCATCTTCTCTGGAGTTTCTGTTGGGCTTTCATTGTCTCTCTGCAAGGAGGAGGCAATCCAGGTCAGGCTTTCATGGTGTCACATTGAGTGGCTTTTCTATTTTCAATATGAAAAGTTGTCTCCCCGTGAAGGGTGCAGGCCTGGTTATCAAATGTCAGCTTTGCTGCTGATCTATTATTTTTATTGCATAGGTTGAAAATGAATATGGAAGCTACTTTGCCTGTGATTACGATTACCTTCGTTACCTTCAGAAGCTCTTCCATCACCATCTTGGAGATGAGGTGGTACTGTTTACAACAGATGGGGCAAGCAAACATTACTTGAGATGTGGAGCTCTGCAGGGTCTTTATGCAACGGTGGACTTTGCACCAGGTTAGTGGCAGCTGTTCGTAGCAAGATAACTAGGCCAATGTTTGTTCGCTTGTAGCTAAGTTGATGGTCTCCCTGACTCCTGGGTTTAAGTGGTGATCTACATATTGCCATTTGATATATTCTTAAACATATAGAGGGAGCCAGCTGGTGCGATTCACGAGGGCTTCTCCTCTGGGACCAGTCTGGTCTCTTTACAATGCAAACCTACTGAAAAAATATAGCAGTGCTCAGCAGTTTTTCCAAGGGCTCTTAGTCCAGCCCAAATTTCAGCTCCATCAGATTATCACCTTGCGTTCCTCTGAAGAAAATCTAGTGCTGCAGAACATAGTTAAAATGGGACACATTGCCCCAATCTGTGGTATTGTAAGCATGCAGAATTAAGTGAGTGTTATGCTTGTGAAAAGTGCCCAGTCCGAACAGGAGACTTTGTCATCCCTAGAAACTGTACAGCCTTGGCAGTGTGGGAGGTTTCCTGGGCCTCAGTCCAATGTGAATGTAGTTCAGTTTCCAAGTGCCTTCAACTTGGGACCTCCCTTGTGAATTGTCCTTTGTGGTAAGGTATGTTTGTAGTCTCAGTCCATTTATTAATTGAAAAAATCCACATCTCTCACACCTCCCATTTCCTGGAGGTCATCCGTCAAATAGTAATGACTTTCAGTCACTCTTGGCTTTCAGACCAGTGACTTAGAGGTGAAACTCCAAATCTGATTTGCCAATTCCCTGACTTTTACACTTCCCACAAATAAATCTACTTTAAACTAAGGCCTACATTTTTAAAAATAACGAGTGATTTTTGGGTGCCTTAGTTCTGGTGTTCAGCTTGAGGCTTCTGAAAGGGGCTTGGTTTTCAGAAAGCACTGAGCACCCACACTCAGATAAGTAGGCCCATTTCTGTTGCCTCAAGTTGGGCACCCAAAATCACTAGCCTCTTCTGAAAATTTAGGCCCAGATTTCCACCTAGGTTGTTGCTGATACAGGGGAGAGAGGTACAGCATCCCAGTTTCTGCTCCTGAAGGCAAAGCACTGAAATAGCATGGATATTGCAGCTCAGTTTTGTTTTTTATTTGCAGGTGGTAATGTCACAGCAGCATTTTTAACTCAAAGAGGCAGTGAACCCAGAGGCCCCTTGGTATGTTTTTTTTTAAATTTCCATATGTTCTTAATTTTATGATAGTAATGAAAACCGAGGGGTTGACAGCAGCAGTGCTTGTTGTTTGTGCTGCTTGGGGTGCCTGGGTTCATGGGACATTGGAACTCTTGTTTCATAGTGAGGCAGAGGTTGGGGACAGTTTCTCTGTACATGTCTGTTCCATGCTGCTGCTCTGTAATCCCTGACTGCTGTTCTGTGGAGTATTTTTTTGGCCTCAGAAGATCCCAATTTGTCTTGATTTTTCCAAGCCTAGGAAAGTATGTACAAAGCAGTAGAGATGTTTAGATGAATGAGTCAAGTGTGTGTGGGAGCGGAAGTTAGAGGCAGAATTAATAGAGCAGGTTAAAAAACTGCATCCTGTTTTTAACTAGCATAGATTTTTACACAAGTTAATGGGATGTGAGCTGATTAGGAGCCATTTTGATGCCTTAGCCACTCTGAGAGAAGGACTTAATCTTAACTAAAGGGCTACCTCATCTCCTGTGGCATTTAACATATTTCACTGTATTTACAGTAATTACTTGAATATGAATCAAATGCACTTAGCTGCTTTTTTTATTATTGCTAGTGACATAAATTGAGCTTAAAATAACTTAACCTCCAATTCTGATATTGCTTCCTTTTTATATTACTCTTTCCCCCCACTCCCGTCCCCTGCTTTTCATGTTCTCTCCCCAACTCTCCACATTTCACCCCGGGCAGGTAAACTCTGAGTTCTACACTGGCTGGCTGGATCACTGGGGTCACCCTCATTCTGTTGTGCCAACAAATACGATAGCTAAAACTCTTGATGAAATCCTGGCACGTGGCGCTAACGTTAACATGTAAGTGCATGTTCAAGAGAGGATTTGTTTTTAATGAAAAATGAGAGTAAGGAGGCAGTCAGCAAAGCCTGGTTTGATTGGCTTTATTTGTTTTTCTTTTTAGGTACATGTTTATAGGTGGAACCAATTTTGCCTATTGGAATGGTAAGGAACAATTTGAAAAAAATGACTTGCTTTCCAATTACAGGTGAGGCCTACACCTGTCATTTACAGTATATTACAAATTACACACAGTCTAAACCTTCAGCCTCTAGGTCCGCCATGTCCTAAATCAATTCTATATTCATTTTCTTAAGACACACAGATAAGTATTTTAAATGCCAGTGGGGAAGGAGGATTGGGTGACAAGGAGTCCTTGAATTAAAAAGTGCCGGAGCATATCACCTCCTATATTTCAGGTGCAGGAGCGATACTTCAGCAGCACTACATCTCTGCTAATCACCACTTCATTATCCAAAGCCCTCATTCAGGAACACACTTAAGCATATGCATAAATCCATTCCAATTCAGGGCGTTCCTTAAGCATGTGCTTAACTCTGACAGACTTCAATGAAATGTAAGCAAGTGCTTAAGTTCTGTCCTGAATAGGGATGGTTTCCTGAAGGGAACCCAAGCTGAACCACTAAGAGATCTTGCTATTAACAAAGAAATTTGTGGGTGGAAAGAAACAAGTCTAAAAAACTATCCCATTGGGGAGGGGACTGGAGAAGCTCCATCAATTGTTTTTAATTGTTTAATTTTTGATTTTCACAGGGGCAAACATGCCATATTCATCACAGCCTACTAGTTATGACTATGACGCTCCACTGAGTGAAGCAGGGGACCTCACTGACAAATATTTTGCTCTGAGAGAAGTCATTGGTAGGGTGAGTGTTTATAAAAGACATGGCTTTTAGAATGTTTCTTTAAAACCTCACTAGCTTATTGTGTGAGCTCTCTTGGTTTTGCATGGGTGTGGGTTGCCTCCTGATTTATTACTAGGTTTGGAAGGTTTAGGTTTTTTATCAGTAAATGTCGATTTCACTGAGCACACACAAACCAATGAAAAAAGATAAGAACAGAAATGTACAGATAGGCAAAGTTAGAAAAGTGCTGCTTGAGGACTTATTTAGACTTTGATTTAAGGATGTTTACTTTGCATATTTTGACAGATGATGTTGACAGTCTGTGATTTAGAGGTTATAAAGCTTTAACTTTTTGAATCTAAATCTCTGCTGTCCTTAGATAGTTATTGTTTGACTCCTCCATAATTCCCCCAACTGTGAAAAATTTAAATAGATAAAAATTGGGGAAAAATGCTTAAAAATAAATGTAGATGTTATCTGTTGACATTATAAAAAAAAATTCTGCCAACTTATTTATTATCCACTTCAGGTGTTGAAATAGGCTGCTGCTTTTTGCTGCTATTGAGTTCTTTGATTATTGTGTAAAAAATCACCCAAAGTCTGCTTCCAAACTGTATGTTGTGCACTCTGGTGTTTGGGGTCTCTAAGAGTGGGAAAGCTTACTCCGATGAACAGATTTTCCCTTCATAACTTTACAAACAAGAGATGAGGCTGAGCTGTGGAATTTGAATCTGGGTTTTGAACGCCCCAGAATTCAAGACTGTTCAATCCAAGTATTTGCTTTGGGCCCCTCTCTGTATTTAAGCACAAGTCAAGTTGGGTTTATTTTTGTCTCCATTGAAAGGCTACTGTAGAACAGTCTCATAACCTTCTGTATTTTTCCCAAGCTTAACTTGCCAAGTCTCATCACATTTTGATAGCTTTCTATTGCCTCCCTTAGAGTATAGTTCACCTCAGTCTCACATCTTTGTGTGGCTTCCCTTGCCAATGAACGTCACAAAAAAAGTACTGCTCTTGAGTTCCTTAATTAAAGTGCGTGCCTATCTGAAATGTGATCTTTAGTGTTTGCATGCATGTGAACTGCGGGAGATACAACTTCATGCAGAGAGCTGGTTTTGATAGGATCTGAAGTGTTGGCATAAGCACTGTCAATTTTGGTAGGCCAGACTGGTGTATGCAACTTTTACACTGTGGTTTGTTTAGCTTTTACCCTGCATATCCATAGTATCTAAACAAAGTCTTCCTGTCTGTGCTGTGGGTTCTCAGCCAATAACAATCTATCTGCTCAATCACATTTTGAGGTAAAGTTATGTTTAAAAAGAGAGTTGTCCTGTTTATCTGCTTTCAAAATGACAGATTTGTTGTAAGCATACATGTAGTGAGCCCCTATAGGCTTTTTGGGGGGGAGGGAGGGCGGAGAGGTGTGTGTGGGGGGTCATTGTCTGTTTTCCTGTCCTAACAGGCCTCTTTCAGTTGCTTATAACTTTCTGCTTTTGGTCTTAAACGATCCATGTTTGGTTTCTTCCCTAGTGTGAAAATTGTTTGGAGTGGATTTTATGAAAGCTTGAGCAGAATTGGTTGAGCCATTTTCAAGTACAGAGAGAGAGGAAGAAGTGGAGTTATGCCATTATCTAGAGATGTAAATTATTCTTTCTTTTAACAGCTCTGCCAATGAAGTGGTTGAAACTTGGCAGGGAGATATGTCAGATGTAGGGATTGCTTTGTCATGGTCCAGTGGACAAGCTGCTTCAGTTTGGCTTTTAAAAATATGCTACTTGTTCTGACTGCCTCCTGGCTTTTCTGCCCCTGATTCCCTTGGTCTGTTCTGGTGCTTCTTTGCTTCCAGAGTCCGGATCAATGTAGTGCCCAGCAAGGTTGATCACACGTAGGGAGGAGCCGGGTTCTGTTGGTCCTGACATGATGCTCTGGGGAAGTCTTGGCAGGATGAACCCAAAGTTTCATGGCAAGGCACCCTGTTTTATATAGTGATTTTTCTTCATTGGGACCAATGAGTTTTGCACCGTCATGCTGTAATCAGTTGTTGTTTGACAAGTGGTTGTTTTCTTAAATTATTGTTTCATCCTTTATCTTGTTCTTTCATCAAGTTTCTTAGGGAGTTACCCCATGCTTGTTTTGATTACAGCTATCTTGTCCCCATTGATAGGTGCCTGTCTCATCTTTAGAGTCGTCAATCTGCCCTCCTCTGACATTTCAACAGGGACGTGTTGCAACCTCCTGGCGCCCTTGTGTCTGTCTTCGGTTCCTCCCTAGAACATTTGGTCTGGTGATGACCTCCACGCTTATCTTTTAACACACACACACAAAACGGAATTGATTTACTCAGAACATTTGAACAGGAACATCAAATTGCAATGCAAGAGTAAAACAACCATTGCATTCTTTTACTTATTTTAAAATGCTAAACCTACAACTAAGGGTATGGCTACACTTGTAGCTGTACAGCGCTGTGAGTTAAACCCACCTTCGTACAGCTGAGTAGGGAAAGCGCTGCAGTCTGTCCACACTGACAGCTGCCAGCGCACTGTCGTGGCCACATTTGCAGCATTTGCAGCTGCATTGGGAGCAGTGCATTATGGGCAGCTATCCCAGCATTCAAGTGGCTGCAACGTACCTTTAAAAAGGCATGGTGGTGGAGTGTGGGGGGAGAGAGAGTGGGTTTTTGGAGTGTGTCAGCACACTATCTTGTAAGTTCACACTCCCCTCTCCCCCTGCTTCTCACTCACTCACTCAAAGTAAACAGAAAAATGTTTGCTTTTTCTCTCTGAAATGGAGCTTTGAAGGCACTTCCGCATTCCTGCAGCCGATCACAACAATGAGAAGAGTGGCCACTTGATAAGGGGATTATCACAGAGCAGTAAATTAACTCCTCGTTCACACTGATACCCAGGAGTTGTAGCTAAGGCGCAGCAAACGTTATTCCTCTCTGGGAGGTGGAGTACCAGCAGCGCTGTAGCCACGGAGATACAGCGCTGTACGTGCCTTGCCAGTGTGGACGGAGAGTGAGGTACAGCGCTCTGGGAGGCTTTATTGTGCTGTAATTCACAAGTGTAGCCAAGGCCCAACTAAGTGGTGACTGTAAAAGGTCTGTCACTGCCTTGAAATCAGCACAGCCACAGATTCTGGCTGATGCATCTCTACCAATGGCCCGTTAGGCCATTCCTTTCTGCTTTCAGAAAGGGTGGCTGGCAGGATATGGTCAAATCATACACCAATACATTTCATACATGCTACATTATTATTCTTTATCCTTCATTCTAAATTATACAAAATACAAACATAAAATCTTACTACTACATAACCACATGGCATAGCTGCAGACTGCGTGGACGGAAAGAGTTTTTCCATCGCTGTAGGAGTTCTGTCTCCTCAAGTACCAGTAGCATTCTTTTGTCAATCTAGGTGTGTCAGGGTTCCCTCCCGACTCTGAACTCTAGGGTACAGATGTGGGGACCCGCATGAAAGACTCCCTCAGCTTATATTTCATCATCTTAGGTTAAAACTTCCCCAAGGCACAAATTCCTTTCCTTGTCCTTGGACGGTATTGCTGCTATCATCAAGTGATTTAAAGAGACATTCAGGGAGGGGACACTTGGAGCCCTATCTTCCCCCAAAATATCCCCCCATGCCCTTTCACCCCCTTTCCTGGCGGGGCTTGAGAATAATATACCAACCGATAGGTTAACAAAGTGAGCACAGACCAAATCTCTGGTTTTTAGGACACTGAAAATCAATCAGGTTCTTAGAAGAAGAATTTTATTAAAAAAAAAAAAAGTAAAAGAATCACACCTGCAAAATCAGGATGGAAGATAACTCTACAGGGTAAATGAAAAGATTTAAAACACAGAGGATTCCCCTCTAGGCTCAACTTCAGAGTTACAAAACCAGGAATAAACCTCCCTCTTAGCATAGGGAAAATTCACAAGCTAAAACAAAAGATAATCTAATGCATTTCCTCGCTATTACTTACAATTTCTGTAATTTTTAGATGTATCAGTTCAGAATCTTTTTAGGAGCTGGGTTACCTGCTTGGTCTCTTTCTTTGTCCCAAGAGGGAACCAACAAAGAGAGCACAAACAAAACCTCCCGCCCCATCCCCCCTCAGATTTGAACGTATCTTCTTTCCCCTTTGGTCCTTCTAGTCAGGTGCCAACTAGGTTAATTGAACTGATTAACCCCTTACAGGTAAGTGATTCTATATGTCTGGTCAGGAAGGATTTATGTTACTGCATACATAAAGGTTGTTACCCTTCCCTTTATATTTATGACAAGGTGTATCTATATTGGGAGTTAGGACGGTTTCACACGCCTGAGTGCTGTAGTTATGTCAACCTAACTTTTCAGAGGAGACCAGACTTTGGTCTCCTTCTGTGGCGTTACTCCCACTCTTTCAGAGACACGCAGACCTTCACAGAACCACAGCCAGCGCAACCTCTTTGCTTACATGTGCCTTTGTTTTGGATGGTGAGGTGTGCCCTTGTGGTGGAGGCCGCTGTTGTTTCATTCATCTGGTTCCATAAAGGAATTTAACTGTTTACTACAACTATCTTAAATGGAAGGCAGCAATTCTTCAAGTAATGTCCCTCCACGGTAAGTGTATGTGCAGGTGCATCCCCGCGGTTCTGATCAGAGATCTTTGGTAGCAGTGTCTTTTTGGCCTGCACAGGTGCTCCAACCCCCCCCCCCCCCATGCTCCCCCTCGGCGCTTTTCATTTTTCCGCCGGCCCCCCCCCCCCCCCAGTTCCTTCTCAACTTCCCCTGGCTAGAGACAGAGCAATTAGCAGTCTATTCAAGGATACTTTACTTCTTTAGAAATGCGTTCTTAGCTGGTTTTTAGTGCTTTTGTTCTTTTCTTAGTCTCCTAGTTTTTTTTTTTTTTTTTTCCCCCATTTAAAAAAAAAACCAATTTTAAAATAAGTTCTTTACTTTAACCCTTTCCCCCCGCTATACTGGTGATTGCCCCCAGTAAGAGGCCTGCCCGGTTTAAGAATTCTCTCTCCTGC